ATATAGAACATTTTCAGCCATTGTCTTTTAACGTATTTTTTTTCTCCCACTTTCTCCTTTTCCTCTCCTTCTGGGACTCCCATTATAGATATGATGGTATCCCACAGGTCTCTGAGGCGCTGATCATTTTCTGTTGATTTTTTTTCTTTCTGTTCTTCAAATTTAATAATTCCTATTGACATGTCTTTGAGTTTACTGTTCTTTCCTTCACCATGTCAAGTCTGATCCTGAGGCCATCTAGTGACCATTTTATCTCAATTACTGTATTTTCCACTTTAGAATGGCTCCCTGGCTCTTTTCATGTCTTTCTATTTAGATTCTCTATTGATTGAGTCATTGTCATCATAGTTTTCTTTAGTTTTTGACATAGTTTCCTTTGCTTCTTCAAACACATTTGTAACAGCTGCTTTGAAATCCCTGCCAAGTCCAACATCTGGGCCCATTCAGAGTTAGTTTCTGTTGACTGCTTCTCCTCATTTCGCCCCTCTCCTCCACGCACCCTTGGTTATGGGTCACACTTCGCTATCTTGTATTTTTGTGGTTGTGGAAAAGTGGAAAATTCAGTTAACATATTGGGACAAACTTTGGATTTTGACTTATTTTTCTGGAAGTTGTTTTCTTTCTTAAATTCTTGTTCCTTCCTGCGGTGTACATGTCAGACTCTCTCCCCCCTCTGTGGTATGTAGCTGCTCGGAGTTTAGTCCTGTGCTCCTTAACCTGGCTCCGTAGGGGCAGCTGCGATGTCTGTATGGCCGAGGAGCTGCCATCGCTTTGGAAAGACGTTTGCTCAAACACTTCCAGCCTGTGCAGCTCCCGTCTTACGCGAACTGAAATAAATGTGCTCGGATTGTCAGGCGCTGTCAGGGCGCGTCAGCTGTCACATCTGCTCCGCTGTTGACTTTGTGCAGACTCTCGGGCCTTCCCTGCGCGGAGACATGGCTCCTGGGCTGTGGAAGGATTTGTGGAGAGCAGAGCTAGCACTTCATCTGCTCTCCCATTTCCAGAATCCCCCAATTAAATTTATGGCTGTTCAACCGCTCATTCCAACGGGGTCTGAATACCAGGCTAGCAAAGCATGTGTTTTCCTCATTCTTTTCCTACACCGTTGGCCACTTTTAGCTAAAAAAAAAAGGGGGGGGGGGGAACCTGTGAGATTTACCCCAACCCCCTCGCCCCCCCCAAGTCAAGGATGCTCTCTCTGACTGCCAGCCTGCTGGTTGTCCTCACCATTCCTCCTCAGCCCTGCCTGGGTAAGCACATATTCTTGAGCTTGAACTTGGGGCCTGGATGGGAGAGGAGCCACCCCAAGCAATAAAAGGCTCACACTCCCGCTGTTCTTGAATGAAGCTTTAACAGGTTTCCAAGAATAGACACTTAGGAACTTGTCTGCCTCTGGGTGGTGTCCAGAGCCCTGAAATAGTTGATTCTTTACAGGTTTGTCCAGTGTTCTGCTTGCTTTTGGTGGGGAGACTTCACCCCGTTCTTCACACCACCTTCAGCCCCACTCTTTTGAAATATTCTCAGGCCATTTATATAATATACTAGAGGCCCGGTGCATGAAATTCGTGCATGGGGACAGGGGTGGGGGGAGATTGTCCCTCAGCCCAGCCTGCACCCTCTTCAATCTGGGACCCCTCGAGGGATGTCCAGCTGTCCGGACATCCATCTCACAATCTAATATATTTTTATTGATTTCAGAGAGGAAGGGAGAGGGGAGAGAGATAGAAACATCCATGAGAGAGAAACATCGATCGGCTGCCTCCTCACGCCCACTACTGGTGTTTGAGCCCGCAACCCGGGCATGTACCCTGACTGGGAATCGAACCCTTGACCTCTTGGTTCATAGGATGATGCTCAACCACTGAGCAACACCGGCCGGGCTCCCTATACCAATTTGAGTTTAGAAAGTGAAATGAAAGCAATCGCTAGAAGGATATTTTATTCAGATAGCATAATATGGACTGTTTGTAGTTATTCTCTTCAAAGTAGTAAAATAAAAACTAAACTTTAATGCTGGACGGTGATGCTGTGATATTTCTCGAGGCAGCGGTTATAATAGCTTTATGCCAACAATGGGCACCTGGTGATCTCATTCAGGTCACAAGCTCCATTGTGCTGTCGCAGTGAAGAGGGAAGAAAGCCTGCCTCGAAGAAATCTGGGGAGTAGACAGTCCCCAAAATACAGCACAGGAATGAAAACCCGCGTATGTGGTCTCCATTCGTCTTGCAGAATGAAGACAATAAAAGGCTTTTTCTAAGTAGCGATTCGTGTATTGACACAAAGCAGTGGTACAGACGCTAAGTTTTAGAATACATGCTTTTTCAGTTTCAAAGACGGGCTGTATCTAAAGAAGAGAGAGAGGCCACTTCTGTCTAACAGCGGGTTAGATTATGGTTGGCACTCCGGAAGAGCACTTTCAAGAAATAGTTTCTTATCTCCTGCAGTGGTCTCAGGGCCATTTTTGCTAGGGTCAGGTCAACCATTTGGTTAGATAAGCAGTAAATGCCTGGTAAGTAACTTATTTTGAATGACATTGAAAGAAACTTTAGTGCATAATTTAATTGCACACAAAGCCCCACCTAAAATGTCAAAACAGTGTGATTTTTAAAAATATGTATTTTATTGATTTTTTACAGACAGGAGGGAAGAGGGATAGAGAGTTAGAAACATCGATCAGCTGCCTCCTGCACACTCCCTACTGGGGATGTGCCCGAAACTAAGGCACATGCCCTTGACCTGAATCGAACCTGGGACCCTTTCACTCTGCAGGCTGAAGCTCTATCCACTGAGCCAAACTGGTTAGGGCAGTGATTTTTTTTTTTTTTTTTAATATGTCTTTCACATTTTAAAATTTCTATTGGGAATTAGTTGCCAAGTTTGACACCCAGACATAAATATTTCAGTCCTATCAGTGTCTGTTGTGCTTCTCTGATGTCAGGTGGTTTAGAGCATTTTATTTTAAAGCTCCCAAATAATATGTTATTGTCTTTCCTAATTAAGAGGACTTTTTAATTGCTTGTTTGATGTTACTTCTATTAGACAAATGCATAGTTAATAGATTTTTTTTTCAATGAGCTTTCTGGTATTGTTAATTTTATTCTTTCTTGTGATTGATTGTTATTAAACATAACCTGCCACACATTCTTATGAATATATAGCAAGCTCTTTATGACTGGTTTTAATTTTTTTACTTGACCAAGGTAGTCCTACCCATTTTCTGAAAGATTATCTACTTTCTGAGAGCCCCTTTCTCTATGTTAAACATAACAAACCTTGAATGTACTGTGTTCATAATTGATTCTGTGATAAAACTTACATCAATTAAAAAGGCCCTTATATTTAGAATTTACATTTTAAAAATATGATTTAATGAGCTGAAAATTAAAAATAAATACAATAGTAATTGTTTTCTGCCATGTCTTGTTGAATCTATGAATATTTAATCCCTTCAGGTACATGTTAGTCAGGTGTTTTTATAGATGATTTCTTATTTATTTTTTTAAATATATTTTTATTGATTTCAGAGAGGAACAGAGAAGGAGAGAGATAAACATCAGTGATGAGAGAGAATCATGAATCGGCTGCCTTTTGCACACCCCCTAACTGGGGATGGAGCCTGCAACCTGGGCCTGTGCCCTGACTGACTTGAACCATGACCTCCTGGCTCATAGAATGATACTCAAGCACTGAGCCACGCCAGCCAGGCTGTAGATGATTTTTTAAACATCAAACCATCTCATCTAAATACCTGAATAAGTAACCCAAAGTTGCACGGATGATGAGTAATAGGGTTATGGCTTGAATGTATTTCTACGTACCAGAGTATGGGCCTTGCAACGCCGGTCTATTGGTAGAGAGAGAGAGAATGAGCATACAGAGGGACACACTAGTACGCAGAACGGAAGCGGACACTGAAATCTTGCCCTTTATGTCTCTGTGTGTGCGCTCCCCCTTACCTGGCAGCTTCAGTTAGAGCAGACTTGGCGGCAGCGGAAAAAGCCAGTGCTTAAAAAACACCCGGCCTTGCTATTGACTCTGCGGTCACTGCCCTGCACCGCGCGGGTGGCTTCCCTCCCATTCCCGTTTAGACCTCAGACGAGGTCAGCGTGCGCCAGCCGAGAGGGATGGTCCGGGGGGAGCCTGCTGCGTTCTCCCGAGGAGCTGCACTTCCGCACTGTCTGTATGCTTCGTGGGAGCAATCAGTGCGTGGCAGCTAGGAAGTCATTCTCAGGGTGTTCTGTAAGTAGCTGCAGAGTTGTGAGGTTCTAGCGTAAAAAGAAGCCATGCCGACAGCCGCGAAGTTAGGATCATTCTAGGCACACTAAGGAAACGGAGTCTGCACACTGGTGTTTACTCCGTGGGGAGTAGGTGCTGACAGGGAGACCAGCCGGAAAGAGTCAGGTTCCACTGATATTCTAAAAAGGACGCATTGAAACTCTTTATCAGTAATATCACACTAATTTCAGGGTGACTGATCAATAGATATTTTTGAAGGCGTCAGTCATGTTAAAAGGTAAAATTAATTATAGACAATTTTATTAAAAAGGAAATAATACTTGCCCTGCCGGGGTGGCTCAGTAGATGAGTGTTAGCCTATGAACCAGGAGGTCAGGGTCCGATTCCTGATCAGGGCACTTGCCCAGGGTTGTGGGCTCCATCCCCAGTAGGGGGTGTGCAGGAGGCAGCTGATCCATGATTCTCTATCATCACTGATGTTTCTATCTCTCTCTCTCTCTCTCTCTCCCTCTCCCTTCCTCTCTGAAATCAATAAAAACATTTTTTGAAAAACAATTCTGGCAGGCTCCTTTAAAAACACCTGCCCAGGTTGGATCATTCGCATACTAGACCTCACCCCGGGCCTCCCCATTCCTGTCTGTGGAAGTAGCTGCAGCCACTGGGTTTAATTGGGTGAACTGTTGCAGTATTGATTCATTTGATTTAATCGGCCTGCCTGCCGCGATGAGGATGCGATTTATCTTCATTCTGATTTTGGTTGTAGAGGTTGGCGATTTGAAGGAGCTGCAGACACTAGACATTTCTGCCAATCGTTTGCTAGCTTTACCCGAGAGGCTTCACCTGTGCCTTTCTCTGCAGTACCTCACCGTGGACCGGAACCGGCTGTGGTGTGTGCCGCGCCACCTCTGCCAGCTGCCCAGCCTCAATGAGCTCTCCATGGCCGGAAACCGGCTCGCATTTCTGCCGCTTGGTGAGTGGGCCAGTGTGGCCGCGGGCAAGCCCAGAGGCAGAGACCGAGACAGCACACCTCTGGGCCCTCGCCTGGGAGGGAGGGGTCCGTTTTCTCCATTCTGTTGGCCTTGAGCTTCCTCTCTTAAACCCACCTGTGCCGTGAAGAAGGCTTCCTGCCTTCCCGAGTTCATGTCGGGATTTGAGATAAAAGAAGAAAAAAAAAAATCTGTGCGAAAAATGTGATTAGGGACAAAACGTGTGAAATATGAGATGGTTTGCTCTGAGAAAGGATTGACATATGTAGGATGTCCCAAAAACTGTCTACGCGCACTTGGAATAATTATAAAGGCAGTGTTGATCAAAATACATTTCATTTTCAGACTTGAGCCATCCGCGGTTAAAGTGTGCAGACATTTTGGGGACACCCTGTATGTGTGTGTCCACATATGTGTGATATTTTTCACGTAGAGAACATTACAGTTGACAGGGGTTATAGAGCTACATGGAAGGGTGGCCACTCGTACAGACATACCTGCTTAGATGTGGGCTTCTATGTAGAAAAATTTGTATCGGGTGTTCTAATGGTTAGTGTTTCCAGGTAAGCAGACTAGACATTTTTAAAGACCGAGCTTGAAATGTCACTGGACCTAGCTGGTGTTGCTCAGTGGATAGAGCATCGGCCCATGGACTGAAGGGATCCCGGGTTTGATACCGGTCAAGGGCATGCACCTCGGTTGTAGGCTTGATCCCAGGCCTTCGGGAGATAACCAGTCGATGTGTCTCTCTCTCATCAATGCTTCTCTTTCTCCATCTCCCCCCTCCCTTCCACTCTCTCTCAGAATCAATGGGAAAATATCCTCAGGTCACACACACACACACACACACACACACACACACAATGTCACTCTGGCTAATAAGGAACGTTATCCACTGCGGACTTCTGTAATTGGCCCGTTCTGACATAATATGTGTAAACAAACATGGGCCTTTAATAAAACAATACATTTATTTTCACTGAGAACCAAATTATTTTAACTGGTAAGAAACGAAAGTGCCACTTAAACGAATTTCAACGTGAAACCCCCAGTCTGTGCTGGACCATCAGGATGAGTCTCCTTCCCCAGCATCTTCTCTGAAGGAATTCCTGGGACTTACTGCAATCCCTGCCCCAAATCTGGAAGCGGAACCGTCCCACAGGGAGGTGAGCTTTTAAAGGGAGCTAAACACTTCCTTCACCACTGGGCTTTGGCAGTGCCTCCTGACGTCACACCTGGAGGCCTCCTGACGTCACAGATGGAGCCCACAACCTGGGCATGTGGGCTGGACCTCCTGGTTCCTGGGTTGATGCTCAACCACTGAGCCACACTGCCTGGGCTCCTGTAGGTAGTTTATATTAGCTTTTTAAAATATTTTCTGAATAGACTACCAATTACTGTCCATTCATTACGAAGATACCCACATTTTATAGGCATTAAAAATGTCATTATGACTAGTTACAGATCCAATTTCCCAAACTCTGATTATCGGTATAACGTTGACAGATCATTCTAAACAACCCCATTTCGGTCTGTCGTTTTCTTGAAGAGACTCCATCATTCATCTTTGATGGAAGGAATGAGGCTCACGCTGGCCGGGTCTCAGTAAACAGACCCTGTTGGTCCTGGCCGGGCCGGCTCTTACAGGCCAGTTACACACCCAGCGCCCCGCACACAGTGCCCTTTGTGTTCCCTGGGCGGCCATGTGCACCGCACATGCCAGGGCCTTGAAGTTCAAGGAGAAAGAGCTGGAGTCTGTGCAAGACCGCGAGCTCTCGCTAATTTGCAAGTCACAGCGCTTTGATCTGGGCGCCTGGAAGGAAGAGAGGAAAAACACTTTGGACGCGTTAGAAAGCCACATGAAGAAGTTCTTTGTGGCTTTCACATCTGGGCAGATGTTCACTTCCTCGCTTTATGAAGTTCACGTACTGAGCACTCCCGCACAGGAACTGGGAAGGGTATTATTGCATGACATGTTTTATTGCACGACATCGGCCCATTAAAATTAATAGGAGGAAGAAAACACACCCATCTTGTTAGCTGGCGGGTCACTGGCATCTTCCAGAGACCCGGCCAGTGTGGCTCAGTGATTGACCTATGAACCAGGAGGTCATGGTTTGTTTCCCAGTCAGGACACATGCCCGGCTCCTGGGCTCAATCCCCAGGGATTCTCTCTCATCATCGAGGTTTTTCTCTCTCTCTCTCCCTCTTCCTTCCTCTCTGAAATCATTTTTTAAAAAAAAGATTCTCAAAGTTAGTTACTGAGCGAAAATTTTGTTTTCAGAATGGAAACATTCTTTAAAATATGTTTTTATTGATTTCAGAAAGGAAGGGAGATAGAAGCATCAATGATGAGAGACGTACGTTGATTGGTTGCCTCTTGCATGCGCCCTGACCAGGGCCTCGGATTGAGCCCGCAACCAAGGTACGTGCCCTTGACTGGAATGGAACCCGGGATCCTTGAGTCTGAAAGGCCCACGCTCTATCCACTGAGCCAGACCAGCTAGGGGAAGAATTCTCTCTTAATTGACCCTCTCCTGGAGGGCACACCTCCAAATATCACTTACTGATAATCACGGGAATGATAATAACTGCCATATATTGGAGAAGGCTGGGTGCCAAGAATTCCACTTGGTCATTCAGAAACTGTGTTAGTAATTCCCCCTGAATTGAAGAGGCAGCATTATTCCCCCCTTTGTCCAGATGGTAACATCAAGGACACACATTTTGTACACAAGAAAATGAGAATTCAAACCCTAGGTGCCTGACTCCAAGATGGGGCTCCCATGATGAGTATCCTACATGCCTTCCCGCTGCATCAGCTCGAGCAGAGACTTACCTTGAGTCCTCTAGGACAGTGGTAGGCAAACTCATTAGTCCACAGAGCCAAATACCAACAGGACAGCGATGGAAATTTCTTTGGAGAGCCACATTTTTCAAACTTAGACTCCTTCTAACGTCACTTCTTCAAAACAGACTCGCCCAGGCCGTGGTATTTTGTGGAAGAGCCACACTCCAGGGCCCAAAGGGCCACATGTGGCTCGCGAGCCGCGGTTTGCCGACCACTGTCCTCGGGACTCCATACGGCACACCTGAGCTGAGAGCGTGTTTGGGTGGTGTCCGCGTCGTTGCACTGAATTTCACATTTCCTGTTACGTGGCTGTGGGAGTTACAGCGCTTTGCTTTCTGACCCAGATCTAGGTCGATCTCGAGAGCTGCAGTACGTGTACGTGGACAACAACACGCACCTGAAAGGCCTGCCGTCCTACCTGTACAACAAGGTCGTCGGGTGCAACGGGTGAGCAGACGTCGCGTCTCAGCCTGCGGTCCAGCTCCTCTGCCGCCTTTGCTTCTGGTCTCCTCATTTGGGCTTGATCTAGCGGAGGGAGAGATGCACTGACCTGATAATCCTGCTCAGTTTTATCTCTGTCCTTCATATGCGAAAGCACATACCTTTAGACGTAAGCATATGGGGCAAGCAAGTTTGGAGCGTTGTCATTCAAGAAATCTCTGCACATCCTTCTAAGCTCGGTGTCAGTCCCAGAACGGCGGCGTCAGCAGGAACGTAAAGGCTGTCCTCCTCGGCCCGCCCCTGCAGGGCCGCCCTCGGATCGAGCCCTGAAGCACTTGGGCTGTTTAGGACTCAGCGTCTGAAATAGCCCCTCGTGCAGATCAGGATCCCGGCAGCCAAAGCAGATGTTTCATTCAATGGGGAGCGATAGGCCCTGTTTTCAGAACAGCAATTACCTTCTCTTCTCAGTCGGGCTTTTAGAAAGATGGCTTCGGCCCTCTTGGCGTGGCTCAGTGGTTGAGCAGTGTCCCATTCTGGTTGCATTCCTGGTCAGGCCACGTGCCCATCCCCAGTAGGAGCTGTGCAGGAGGCAGCCAATCAATGTGTCTCTCATTGATGTTTCTCTCTTTCTCCTTTCCTCTCTCTAAAATAATCAATATACATATATATTTTTTTTAATTAAAAAAAAAAAGTCAGCTTTAGCTCCTCCCATAATAGTGGGATGGACCCACCTTAAAGTGCTTCCCACAGGGGTTTGGGGTTAATATAAGCCAGCTTCCAGAGCCTGCTTCTGGCCTCGCTCCCCTCACTCAAGCAGCCAAAGGACGCTGGGGACCCCTCCGAGGCCACTTAGCACGTTTGGCTCTGCGCTCACAATCCCCAGCACCCTGCCTGACCTGCCTCTCCCCATGGGCAGCTCTGGCCAGAGAGGGCTTGGCGATGGGCTGGTGCACAGAGCACAGCAGTGCCCCTGCTGGCATGGCTCCGGGGGACGGGCACCCAGCAGCCATCGCTCCGGAGAGTGCCAGCCTCGGCGTAGCCGCCTCCCCGGGGAGAAATGACACGGTTGTGATCTCGGGGGAGCCCTGGATGGATGAGGTCAGCGCCTGTGCAGGCTGATGAAACACAAGCCAGGCGCCGACCGGCAGAGCCCCCTGGGAAGCACAGTGGTTTGTGCAGCTCAGCGGTTCCTGCAGCTGGTGTGACAGCTGTGATTCTCCTGTCACTGATCCCCACGAGGTCCTCCGGGGGAGGAAGGGCCCATCACTAAGACAGGGAGTGATGCAGGCCAGCCCCAGGATGAGGCAGGGCGCCCGCACCAAGCCGGCCTTCAGAGATGGCACTGAGATGTCTTTAGGCTGTGCCATGATCCAGATAGCGGGCCTTCTGCTCCCATGTTTAGATGTGGTGCTGACTGCCAGAAAGTTCTGTTGGTTCTGAGCAGGGAGAGAGCTTTCAGTCCTTGACTTGGTATCTGGTAGCAGAGAAAGCGAATTTTCTGAGAGCTCCAAATCTCTGCGGACAGTCAATAGTAGTGCAAAATATGCAGATTTTTTAGCCAGGGGCTTACGTTCGATGGTTGTTATTAGTAGTGTAATAACGTTTTCCCTTGATACTAGCCATGAGAAAATAAATTACTATTAGGAGAGCACCACACAGTCACCTTTCTCACACGGGGAGTCTGGGAGTGGAGGCAGTCCCACCTGCCAAGCCCCAAAGGCATTTTCAGTCTGCTGGCTTTCTTACTAGTAGCTCCGCATGCAGTTGTCACAGGTGCAGTTCTGGTCCTTCTATTCCAGAATTGTTCCTTTAAAGGCCCAGCTGGTGTGGCTCAGTGGTTGAGCATCGACCTATGAACCAGGAGGTCACGGTTTGATTCCTGGACAGGGCACATGCCCGGGTTGTGGACTCCATCCCCATTGTGGGGCACGCAGGGGGCAGCCGATCCATGATTCTCATCGTAGATGTTTCTGTCTCTCTCTCCCTCTCCTTTCCTCTCTGAAATCAATAAAATTTACCACAAAGAAAGGAAAGAACTTTTTCTCTCCTGCATCACTTTGTGAGTGTCATTTAGTCTCTGATGTGGTCAAGGGAGGTTGGCCATGGCGAGCGGAAAGGTCCCGAACCCCTGTGACTCCCTCCCTTGCAGCCTGCATTCTCCACCTGCTGCTCTTCTCTCCTCTTAGGCAGAGAAGGCATTCATAGATGGATCCTGAACTGGATTTAGTTAGCTCTTTCCGTCCAGTCAGGGAGAGTAGGAACTTCCTCTGAGAGAACTGTCAGAGGGAAATTCGACCTTATGCAAGATGAGGATCCACTTACTTGCTAATGCGCCTTTGCGGTAGCGTCAGTCAGACCCCTGTCTTCCTCGTTATTGGAGACCAGGAGAGCGCTAGGCAGAATCTGGTTTTGAGTTTGTAAGCCTTTGTTTGCTCCTCTGTATTATTAAATTCTTCAGGCGGACCCACGCTGAGCCCGTCTGCAGTCGGGTTAAGAGCAGCAGCTGCCACGGCAATAACAGGATGAAGTAAATACTCACCAATGATTGGCCTGTTTCGTTGTTTTATGGTTGTGCTCAGGGTTCCCGAACTGCAGTATGGCTGTAAAGTTTGGAAACAAATATTCTTCTACCATGTGTTCTCCATGGCGACAGAACCAGTAGAATGAGGTGAGGGGTGGGCGGGAGAGGGAGATTAATTTATTTTAAGAAATTGGCTCACCCTAGCTGGTATAGTTCAGTGGATAGAGCGTCGGCCTGCGGACTGAAGGATCCCCGGTTCAATTCCAATAAAGGCCACTTGTCCGGGTTTTAGGCCCCCATTAGGGGGCGTGCAGGAGGCAGCCCATCAATGATTCTCTCTCATCATTGATATTTCTATCGCTCTCTCTCCTTCTCCATGGCTGTCTGAAATCAATAAAAATACGTTAAGGAAAGATTAAAAAAAAAAAAAGATAAAAAGAAATTGGCTCATCTGATGGTGAAGGCTTGCAAATGTGAAATCTGTAGGCGGGCTGGAGGCCCAGGGAGGAGCTGAGCTGAGGAGGCAGCTGGAGGCTGAGGACACTGAATGGAAGAACTTTCTCTCCCTCAGGGGACCTCGCTCCTGTTCCCTAAGGCCCTCAGCTGATTGCGTGAGGCTCCCTCACATTAGAGCTGAATCGGCGTTAGTCAGAGTCTGCTGAATTATGCCCATACGGTGTTGCTCAGTGGTTTGGTGTCCACCTATGAACCAGGAGGTCATGGTTCAATTCCCGGTCAGGACACACGCCCGGGGGGCAGGCTCCATCTCCAGTAGGGGGCGTGCAGGAGGCAGCCAACTGATGTTTCTCTCTCATCATGGATGTTTCTGTCTCACTTTTCTGAAATCAATAAAAAATATTTTTTTAAAAAGAGAGAGAACAAATGATCAAGATGACTCCTTTTCCTTGGAAAACGAAACGATTACAATGATTCTAATGTTAGTCAGAGAAGACGGAGTGGAGTTGGCTGCCTCCTTGCACACCCCACTGGGGGATCCCGGTTCATAGGTCGATGCTCGACCACTGAGCCACACCGGCCGGGCTGTTTGTTTTCTTTAAGTATCTCGCTTGGCTGGCGAAGAGTGGGAACATCTCCTAGTGGAAGGAATGAGCAGACGAAGGGCCTTCCTAATGAGCCATCCAGCCAAGGGCTTCTTTTCTCTCCCTCAGTGCCCGTTCCCCGGGGGCGGGGGTCAGGGGGGGGGAGGTTGTCCCAGGTTACGTCTGCAAAAGAGCCAGGTCCGCTGGCGCCTGCTGGTCGTTCGGGAAGGAACGTGTGAAGACTTTCAGGCAGCCCAGTGGTCGCAGGCAGGGGGTGGCATGAGGTCAGACGCCCGAGTGCGGGTAATCCTGAAGGAACAAGGCCCTCTGTGCCCTGGGTCTGAGCAGCCACAGGGAGCAGGGTGTGGCTTGGCTGAGTCAGCAGGTTTGGCCGAGAGCGTTTTCACCACAAGCCTGCGAACGGCTCCCATAAAGGTATCGTCTGCTATTAAAAATCTATTTGCTCCGCAGGGTGTTTTTCCACGCCAGCAAGTTCTGTGAAACCACGGCCCTATAACCTAACAGCGTGTCCTTTCTTCCCCTTTTAATTTTGAAAACGTCAATAAACATAAACGCGAAGAGGGTCCTAAAATGAGGACACGTAGAGCTCACAGGCCGTACCGTGTGGATCCGAGGAGGAAAAGTTCCCTCAGTCTGTCCTCGCCGGAAGGCCCAGACCTCAGCAGTGGCTTAGCTGGGTTTCAGCTGGACAGCGTAGATTTATTTATTTTATTTCTAATTTTTGTTATTTTAAAAAATATATTTTTATTGATTTCAGAGAGCAAGGAAGAGGGAGAGAAAGAGAGAAACATCAATGGTGAGAATCATGAATCGGCTACCTCCTGCCCCCCCTTCCCCCCTCAAACTGGGGGGTGGAGCCCACAGCCCGGGCATGTGCCCCGACCGGGAATCGAACTGTGACCTCCTGGTTCATGGGTTGACTGACGCTCAACCACTGAGCCACACCGGCCAGGCTGTGCCAGGTTTTATTAAGGAGCCCGGGAGAGCATCTGTTCGCTTTGCAAAGCATTCTGGCAATTCAGCGGCGTCTTCAGATGTTTACATATGTTCAATGTATATATACAATATTTTGACAAGCACATGTTTTATTGCACGTGTCTTCCTTTCCTCGTCGCTCACCTGGCGGTGAATGCCTGTCTCTCCGCAGCTGTGGGGCTCCCGTCCAAGTTTCCGAGGGGAAGCTGCTGTCCTTCTCATCCGGGCCCCTCACCGTCTTCCTCCCCGCCGAGGTGAAGGCCATAGGGACGGAGAAGGACCACATCCTGCCGCTGCAGGAGCTGGCCATGAGGCGCCTGCATCACGTCTACCACAGTCTTCTCAAAGGTACGGGGCCCCCCCCCCCCCACCCCCCCCCGTCCCTGTCTGCCCCCTCCAGGGACCTGTGCCGTTGTGTCATGCCACCTGTTTCCCTGTTTTTTGTTTGTTTGTTTTTTAAATATATTTTATTGATTTTTTACAGAGAGGAAGAGAGAGGGATAGAGAGTTAGAAACATCGATGAGAGAGAATCATCAATCAGCTGCCTCTTGCACACCCCCTTCTGGGAATGTGCCCGCAACCAAGGTACATGCCCTTGACCGGAATTGAACCCGGGACCTTTCAGTCCGCAGGCCGACACTCTATCCACTGAGCCAAACCGGTTTCGGTTCACTGTTCCTTTTTTTTTTTTTTTATTATTGTTGTGGAAAAATACACAGAAGTAAAATTTACCATTTAATCCAGTTTTTAAATTTTTACTTATTTTTTAAAAATATATTTGTGTTGATTTCAGAGAGGAAAGGAGAGGGAGAGAGAGAGAAACATCAATGATGAGAATCATGGATCTGCTGCCTCCTGCACACCCCCTACTGGGGATCGAGCCTGCAAACCGGGCCTGTGCCCTTGAACAGAATAGAACCCGGGATCCTTCAGTCAGCAGGCCAACGCTCTACCCATTGAGCCAAAGAGTGAGGGGCAGTTTTTTTTGAGGGGCAACTTGGTTTCGTTGCTTTTCATTCCTTTTACATTTTTATTTTCCCTTTTTTTATTCTTTTCAGTCAATATGATTTAACTTGATTGATTCTAAATGCCCAATAGATTTAGGAAGAACTTACTGAAAGCCCATTTTCATCTCCAATCCAGTCCCTTTTTTTATTCTCTGTCTCTTATAGAAGTTTACAAGCCCACTCTGGTAAAATCACACTTTTCTGATCTTCGTTCTTAAAGAATTCTTGCTCTTGTTCTTTCCTTGCCTCTTCCTCATGGCAGCTTTTGGTTGCTCTTAAAAGCCGATGTGGATTTCCTCTTAGTATCAGAAATGTAAAAGCATCTTCATCTCTAAATAATGTTCCGTTTTTATTCCATGCCTGACAGATAAAAGAATTTCCAGCATGCGGTACTTTTAACTAACTGAACTCACTCGGTAACAAAGAACTATATTTAAAAGCCTGGTACTGTAAAGCATTCTGATTTTTTTTTTTTTTAATTATTATTATTCATGCATGCTTGTCTCTCTCTTATGTTCCAGATCTGAACTTCCTGTCTCCCGTCTCGTTACCCAGAAGTCTCCTGGAGCTGCTGCACTGCCCCCTGGGGCACTGCCACCGGTGTAGCGAGCCCATGTTTACAATCGTCTACCCCAAGCTCTTTCCCTTGAGAGAGACGCCGATGGCGGGGCTGCACCAGGGGTAATCATGCCCACGTGGGCACCGGGGTGTATCCCTGGGCGCCGGTGGGGGTGCGGGGAGGGGTGGGTGCCTCGCAGGAAAGTACCGTGAAGTCAGCAGCTACATAGGGGCAAAGGCCGTGCTAAATGAAACGTGCGCATTTTTAGCATCATGAGGAAACATTTTTGCTCATACACAGAACAGTTTTATGGCATACATTATTGAGAGTAGCTCATGCTTTGCAGGCATGCTTTTCTGCTCTTCCCCTGTTCAAAGTAGTCTTCAGGTAACAAGGAATTGCAAGAACCAGATAGTTATTATACAATGGGACCAGCCCAGCCCGTCTATGCAATGGGTGTTGCTAACTGAAAGTGTGTGGCTGACCGGTGTGTGTGTGTGTGTGTGTGTGTGTGTGTGTGTGTGAGAGTATGTGAGTGTGTTGAATTTCTAACCCTTCCAAATGGCTTTCTCTTGCCACTTTCTGCTTCTTGGCACAATGCCTTGAATTTGCTAAAAATGTTCACTAAGTCAAAAACGCCATACCGGTAGTTTAAAAAAGAATACCAGACAATTAAAAATAGAACAGCAAATAAAAAATTCCCCCATTAGCACAGCCATAGCATATAGATTTTTCTAAATTTAAGATTTTTCTAAGTTTGCATTTTTCAAAGTTAAAAAAAAAAAAAGGTGCTATAATACCGTACTTATTTATCCCAGGTGGTGTTCTGGGTTAGTCAGTTTTCCAGGTCACTCGTTACCTCTATTCCCTGTCAAGAGGTGTTTCCTTTGTAATCATTTCTTTTTTATTTTATTTGTTACTGATTTCAGAGAGGGAGAGGGAGAGGGAGAGAGAAACATCAATGGTGAGAGAATCATTATCAGCTGCCTCCTGCACACCCCATATTGGGGATCCAGCCTCCAACCCTGACCTCTCCACTGGGAGATCTTGGGCAAATTATTTAAATTCTCTGAGCTTAATTTTTTTCATCAGTAAAATGAGCATCATAAGAATATCTGTTTAATAAGGTCTTTGTGAGGTTTAAGTGAGACGATTCATGTCAGGAGCCCAGGATGGTGCCTGCTATGTAATCAAGACTAAGTAAATGTTAACTATTTATTTCTGTAGCTCACAGACTTTTTCAAAATTAAATTTATTGGGGTGACATTGTTTAATAAGATTATGTAAGTTTCAAGTGTACAGTTCTATCATATACCATCTATATATTGCATTGTGTGTTTGCCACTCAAAATCTGATCTGAGATTTTGTTTTAAATTGTGTATATAAGCAAATTTTAATATCAGTATCTTTATATGAGTAAGACGTACTAGAAAATTCATCTAATTCATTCAGCTGTAGTAAAATTCTAATGCATTGTTATTGCAGTTTCCTATAGAAGGTATTTTCTTACCGAAAAAATGAAAAGGAAAACAATTCAGTGTGGTCAGGATGCACTGTTAATAGCTGATAAAATTCTAAATACCTATTTTTAAAAAAAGACAGACTTTCTTTTGTCGCGCTAATTAATTGGTGAAAGTAAAGAAGGCCCTTCAAATGAAGTCATTTTTGTATTATCTTTACATGAAACTGGGAAACTTACTCAGTATTTTCAAATACCATTTACTTCTGCTTCTTCTAGAAATTCAGTATGGATAATCTTACATTGTCTCAGCACATAAATTTAATAGTGGTCGTTTAATAAAATGTGTGTATCGAGTACCTAGGAGTTAGTGCCCTCTGGTTGAGCGAAGCCATAGTGCCTGTGTTTATAGCAGAGATAATACGCTGAGCTATAAACATGGCTTTCTGTGGCGAGGTAATGCTTGGTCTGAAATTGAGAGCTCGTGGTTTTCATCTGGTCCACCAGCCTGTGCTCCTTCCCATGTTGCCATGGAGATTGTATTAAAAGCATCGACTTCGGTTTCCACCATAGCCTTTAAAGGACTTTTTTGGTAACTGAAAACCAAATACTTGAATCTCAGGACCTTATTGCTCAAAGTAAAATCAATATTTTGAATGTCATAAATTCTCAAAGGTCTTGGTAATCTTATTTTTCTAAGTTTTCTAATATATTGAGGTCTGTTGGTGTTGCTTGTCCTAAAATCAAGTATTGTTTCAGCCAAAGTCTACATTAATATGGACATCTGGCATTGTTGTGAAAGAACATGTTGAATATTCTTCTAAAACACCACGTCCCTTACAAGTGTTAGCTCAAACCTAAATTAGTGCAGTGTAAAGTAAAAAGAAATTATTGTAATTTCACATAAATGATAAATACCTAAACCTTTAAATATCTACCGCAGAGAAGAATGAGTCATCTACTGATAACTTTTGATCCTTATAGGGATAGCAAATTTTCATTCCCAAAACTTACTGTTCATTTATTAAAATGAAAGACATCAACTTAGAGGACTCTTGTTCAACATAACAACATGCATCTGGCTTTTCCCAGGCATGTCTGCTTCTCACAAGTTCTGTATTTCCCAATCCGTAATCAGGCTACCGAATGTTTTTTCAGAGTAGTGTACTAGTTTGCTAGAGATATCGCACCAAAATACCACAAAATGCTGACTGACACAACAGCTATCTGCTGTCTCACAGCTCTGAAGGCTGGAGGTCAGAAATCAAGGTGTTGGCAGGATGCGTTTCTTCTGGGGGCTGTGAGGGAAGAGTCTGCTCACGAATCAGGTAACATAAATGTAACAAGCAGATACAATACGTTATTAGGGGGTTCTCCCTTCAGCTAGCAGTCCACAGGCTGGCGGTTCTATTTCTCCCTCTTTCATCGGCTTGGCTTTTATTTTTCTTGCTTTATTACAGTGGTTAGGATTTCCAGTACTGTGTTGACGAAGGTGGTGGAAGGAGATATCACTACAGAGTAGGACATTAGCAAGTCCTTTTTTGTCGATGATGTTTATGAAATTGGAAAAGGTCCCCTCTATCTCTAGTTTGCCGCGTGTCTAGCGTGAGTAGGGGGTGTATTTTTTCAAACGCTTTCCTCCGAGTCCATGGACACCATGCGCGTTTGACTCTGTTCACCCGTGGATAGGGTGGATGGCATTGGCTTTCAAACATTGCGCCCGCCTTCCCGCCCCAGAATAATTCCCACTTGATGTCAGATTTTTTTTTGATTTGCTGAAGTTTGCGTTTCCATTCAGGTCCTGTGAGGTCTTATCCTTTGAGACTTTCCTCTTTAACCCACAGGAAACAGCTCGTTTGACCGACAGGTTAGAAAAGGGCAGAGAACTGGGGTGTTTGATCGTCACGTTTGGAGTCCCTCCTCTGATTTCTAGTCTGATTCCGTAACGGGCAGGGAGCGTGCGCTATGATTGCTACTTGCTTTAGACTTAAATGGCTCTTTATTCTCCAACTTCCTGGTGGAAACTCAGGTTACTGGTTTTAGAGCTTTTTTCCCTCCCCTAATAAGTGTGTTTAGTGTTATAAATTTCCCTTTAGCTCAGCCTTTGCTGGGAAAAGGACTCTCAATCTCTACTATTCAGATTTTTAAACTCCCTCTACAGCCAATCTCTGTGACTACATTTATAGGGTAAAGTCTTTAAAATTATGGTTTTTAGGCTCTCTGGTGTGTGTGTGTGTGTGTGTGTGTGTGTGTGTGTGTTCTAATTAAATTGGCGAGGTTTTCTGTTACATGATTTAAAAAAATTTATTTTTTTACTGATTTCAGAAAAGGAGGGCGAGGGAGAGAGATATAGAAACATCAGTGAGGAGAGAGAATCATTGATCAGCTGCCTCCTACTCGCCCCTTCCTGGGGATGGAGCCCACACCCCGCGCATGTGCCCAGACCGGGAATTCAACCCTGGTTCATAGGTCGATGCTCGACCACTGAGCCGCACCAGCCGGGCTGGGCTTTGTGATTTTTACAACACGTTTGACATGCTGTCCTCCTATTGTTGGTTCTAGAAAGCAGACTTCAGACCGTAGCATGCAGAACGCTTGTTTTTCATGTGCTGTTAGCGGGGCGGGGGGAGGGAGGAGGGGGGGACTATGATGTCATCTGATCACTGTTAATAACGGGGGCACAGACACACCCCACCTATGCCCAAAGGAGACGGGCATCTCTGCTGCATGCTGTGCTGGCCATACCTCATCCTTTATTCTGACAAAGAAACGGACCGTCTGTAGCGGAACGAAGCCCGAGGCTTTGATCTTGAACTCACCGTGTCCCTCTCTCTTCCTCTTTTCCACTTCCAGGAGGACAACTGTGAGTTTTGTGGCTTACTGCTGCTCCACCCAGTGTCTGCAGACTTTTGACCTACTCCGCTGATAAACACTCAGGAGCCTTGGGAGGCCTGCCAACCGGACGCTGCAGCTGCCTGCGGGTCACACGCCGTCTGCGGGCGGAGGGACAGGGGCGCCCCGCCAGGCCACACAGGCCCTCACGTCCCGTCCCGTCCCGTCCCGTCCAGTGCGGGGGCTCCGCAGAACTCTCTGGAAGTGTGGTGACCGAGCTTCGGAGCTGAAAGGCCTGCGCCCTCCCCTCCCTTCCCTTCCCCACCCCCCTCCCCCCGTTGGAATACATCCTGCCTCCAAGTCAAGGACCCTTTGTCTCGTGTGTGTTTCTTTGTATGAAAGTGTCTCAGACGGAAACGATTTGGTTAGACGTGTCTCCCCGAATCGAATTTAAAGCAAGCTTCAGCTCCCCGAAGAGCTAGGATTTGATAATATTGTCAAGTGAACTTTTGAACACATTCTAACTCGATGATACTCTTAGTGTTCTCTTCCTTCCCCCCAGAGAATAATTCCCCCCCCCCCCGAGGTTATTCTCCGTGTTTATAACAAATTTCAGCCAGCTCCACTGCCTCAATAACACGAATAGTAAAGGGTGTGGGGGGACCCCGAGTTGGCAGAGAAGTTAGACTCGGGGATGATTCCGCAGGGTGCCCGTATACAGCCTTTGAAAAGTTATAACCTAGTTTGTAAGTTCCGCAACATGTTAAGGGACTTTTATGAGGGATTTTAAAAATAAAAATGTAGACTAGAAATAAAAATACACTGATTTTGAAATACTGTTTATAGGAAAAGAATCATTGAAATGGTTGCTTTCCTGATAAGATTTTTTAAAAATAATTTTTTATTGATTTCAGAGTGGAAGGGAGAGGGAGAGAGAGAGAAACATCAATGAGAGGCATCAATTGATTGGCCACCTCCTGCGTGTCTCCTACTGGGGACCGAGCCCTCATTCCGGGCATGTGTCCTGACTGGGAATTGAACCGTGTCCCGGTTCACAGGTTAACGCTCAACCACTGAGCCACACCAGTCAGGCATATATTCTTAAATATTTTAATTATATAGCGTTTCCTCTAAGTTGGGATGGAAAGGGGGGAACCAAGAAGGTTGAATTGGCAGGAAAAGTATTTTCACAAAAATGTCAGACTTGTCTAAAATTCCGTTTGTGGAACTTTGTTCTCTGCCCTAAATCTGTCATGCTCGGTTCTCACCTCGCTAAAAATCCTACCTCGTTACTGACAACTGTGTGATCTTTTCACAGTCACACCCCCCCGCTGCCCGGAAAGCAGACTCCACGCAGAACGCTGAAGGCAGAGCGTTACACGTGTCCCAGCTGTGCTTCCACTGCTCTCACCTCCCCCTGTCCATCTCCTGACTTGGCCTGTTCCGCCTGCAAAGGCGTCGAGCATAATAGGTACTGAAGATCGACATCAAAACCTAGCACTTGTCTCATCCTGGAGAATAACGGAGGTGTTAGCGGAAGCGCTCCCTCCGTGCTTGTACCCTGGCAGGTGAAAAACGTGGCGTGAATCCTCACAGATGTGATTCCGGCCCACGTGGCTGCTGCCTATCACTTACCTGCCAGCCGTCTTTCTCTCTCACCCTCCCACAGTCATGTCGTAAAATGACACGTGCTAACCCGATACTCGGGATTCTCGCTGGGATGCCGATATGTGGTACTTCTTTATTTCTTTTTAAATGTAATTGTACTGATGTCAGAGAGGAAGGGAGAGAGAACAAGAAGCATCCATGATGAGAAAGAATCACCCATCAGCTGCCTCCTGCACACCCCACACTGGGGATGGAGTCACAACCTGGGTATGTGCCCGTTGAAGGGGCTCAGCCCTCACAGGCCCAGCTTCAATGGGAAGGACGTCCGGATGGTCGTCCGTTTATCCAGTCTAATTAGCATACTATGCTTTTATTATTATAGATGTGCATTGAGCACCAGCAGACTCAACTTTGACCCTGGTGCAGCACCCAGCTTGATTGATGGAAAATTCAAGTTATAATTTGGCTTCCCTGGTGCAGTTTTATTATTAAAAAAAAAATTATACTAGATTCACTATTGTCATTCTTAATACTTTGCATATTATGTGAGAACATTGGAGATTGGAGAAAATTTGCCCACATGCTATATATTTTTGAGGTGTGTGCAGTGCTTTGCAGAAAATTCTAAAGTTGTTATATCGTGTCTTCTTGATCAACAGTTAATGCTACGTAGAGAAATACTTCGTGTAGTCATGATATTGAAAAAAAAAAAAAAAAGCGAGTCACTTGGAAAATAGTCTCTTCCTAGGTAAGTTTATATCAATAATCTGATGTGGTTCATGGTAAATTTTATAATTCAGAATCACCTGTTCGGCAGTGGCCTTCTCATGACAGAGTGTGAAAGACAATCCATTTGAACTGGATTGCCCTGTCAGTGCCATTCAAGATGCCTACTGGTTATCATACCTAATTCCCAGATTACAGAACATGGTATAGATGAAGTGTTGCCTCTTCCATGGAAAAAAAAAATGTGCCCTGGCTGGTTTGGCTCAGTGGATAGAGTGTCGGCCTGAGGAATGAAAGGTCCCAGGTTCCATTCCGGTCAAGGGCATGTGCCTTGGTTGCAGGCACATCCTCAGTAGGGAGTGTGTAGGAGGCAGCTGATCAATGTTTCTCTTTCATCAATGTTTCTAGCTCTCCTTCTCCCTTCCTCTCTATAAAGTATATTTAAAAAAGAAAATATGTCCATGCAAAAACTAAAAAACAACAACAAAAGTTCATAATAGCCCAAAAGTGGAAACTACTTAAATGCCCGCCAATGGGTGAATGGTTGAATCCAATGTGGTATAACCATGATGGACTAATATCAGCCATGAAAGGAAAGAAGCACTCGCACATGCTACAACATGGATAGACCATGTAACATTATGATGGAAGCCAGACACAAAAGACCTCATACTGTATGACTCCATTTAGATGGACTATCAAGAACCAGCAAATCTATAGACACAGAAAGTAGATTCGCAGTTGACGAGGGCTGGGGAAGGTGGGCGGAGAAAACGGGTAGTGACTGCTAATGGGTACAGAGTTTCTTGGTGAGGTGATAGGAGTGACCATGAGTTAGATAGTGGTGGTAGTGGTACTTCATGGTGAATATACCAACCACTGCATGGCACTCTTAAAGAGGTGAATTTTATGGTATATGAATTATATCTCAGTTTTAAACGGTGTTGCACCTTATTTTATGCATCTGTTCATAAACTATTTTGGGCCCGGCCTGCGTGGTTCAGTGGTTGAGCATCAGCCTAGGAACCAGGAGGTCACGGTTTGATTCTCGGTCGAGGCACATGCCCAGGTTGCAGGCTGGATCTCCAGTAGGGGGCGTCCAGGAGGCAGCCGATCCATGATTCTCTCTCACCAGTGATGCTTCTCTCTCTTCCTCTCTGAAATCCATAAAAATGTACATTTTAAAAAAAATAAATTATTTTGGGGTAAGACGCACAACCCTTGCAGAAGGTATGAATGGAACTGCTCTCTCTGGCCGGGATATAGATGGAAACTTGGTGTTAACAGCTCACCGGGTGTCAGAATTGGTCCTCATTGGTTAACACCAGCCTCGGGCCAATATGCAGTCATTTTAAAGTTCTCAGCTGTGTGCTTCCGTCTTATTTCATCCATTGAAATATCATTGGATACCCCTCAAGGAGCAAGACCCCCTGGAAGTAAAACATCGTGAAATGAGTGGGTCTGAAAATATAATCAAGTGGAAAGTTCTGGAATGAACTAAGAGGTCGCGTTGGCTTCGTTCCTAGCGCTGTTTGGTACCATTCTTTCCCCAGAACAAAAATGTAAAGGGAGGCTCTTATTTACTGAAGGTCCTATCTCCTCAGCATGATTATTAAATATTTGTATTCCAAACATACCTCGATTCAAGGCTTTTCATAATTTTCTGAAACTGATCAAAGTAGCTGTTATAATGTATTGGCACAGCTACAGCAAGGGTGTGCGGTCAAATTTGGTCAGTAGACCAAAATGAGAGCTAGATTTTAAATAAAATGCAGGGATTTAAAAAGTGTATAGTAGTTACATTTTGCTCTCTTCAGGTATCGGGTACTTTATTTTCAGTTCTTTGGGCTGGTAAAAAAAAAAAAAAGTGTTTAAGAGAAAAATTTAAAACCTAGTTGTAATATTATTAGAATGACCTATTCAAAAGAATCCAGCTAAAATGTTATTTTTTATTGCTTTCAGAGAGGAAGGGAGAGGGAGAGAGAAACATCACTAATGAGAGAGAATCATGGATTGACTGCCTCCTGCACGCCCCCTACTGGGGCTTGAGACAAACCCGGGCCTGTGCCCTGACCAGGAATCGAACCCGTGACCCTTTGGTGCTAACCACCGAGCCCCAGCCAGGGCAATATGGCATATATTTTTAAATCGCCAACAAAACATGAGCTGGGATTTGGTCAATTAAGTCTCTGTATAATATTAAATTCACAGCATCGATTCATAATCAGATTCACAGCCAAAATATTTATAGTTAACGTCGTAGTCTGGGGTCCCTGCAAAAATAAGATATGGGAAGGAACTTTGGAACAAGAAAGTGTTCGTGCCAAGGAGAACATGGCAAGGACAGGGGGTGGGGAGCCAAGCAGAGGCCCGAGTCAGCAGCTCGAGAGCAAACCGCACCCTTTAGGGGAGTTTTCGTGGCTCGCACCCAAGCGGCCAGCCAGCTCTGCAGACTTAAGAAGCGTGGAGCGTAGGGAGGTTAGAGTGACAAGCAGAGAAGAGGGGGTGGACGGGGAACAGTACCCCCTTACTGACACAAAAATGAGGACCCAGGACCCTGAATGTGAGGAAAGAAATGTCTGAACGTGATCATGACCGTGTGCTCTGCCTCTAGCCATCCACAGCCCTCCTAAGTACTCCCAGCGCCATGCTTGTGCGGGTACCAGGCCCCCTCCTCCAGGCAGGCAGCCGAGATTGCTTGTAGGCCAGCAGACGGGAGCCCCGGAGGAGGAGAATGCCTTGAGGACTATGTCTTCTGAAGAGGAAATGAAGCGCAGAATTTAGGAAACCTGGACTGAACATGAGCACATCTCTGTTTACCCCCTAGGAGGCGACGCTGGGCACCCGAGGGCAAAGAGGGGCCCTCGGAGTAAGGGTCAGGAGAAATGGTGCGCGCCCCTCTCTGCCCAGGGTCCCCGGATCTGCTGTGTTTGGCAGAGGAAACGCTCGCTCTGAAGGTAAACACGGAAAGCTGAGATGAAGGGGCAGAATCATCTGATACCACACATCCAAAAAGAGAAAGCAAGAAATGACTTGATTTTTGCCCGAGCCTGTGGCCACCCGGAGGAGCTGCCTTCACACGCCACTTTCCTTTGGGATAGTCCTCCCCGGGGGCCGTATCTTCGCGTGGATCTCGCCCAGGTATCTGAGTTGGCGAACTCCTCCGGGGGGGGGGGGGGGATGGGAGAATTCCTTAAATAGAATCCATCCCGCCCCGCCCCGCCCTGCCTCGCCCTTGGGTTTCTCACAGGTTCCTCCCCAGCCCCTTTGCCAAACGTGTCAATTTGTGCAAACGTGGACCATTTCTGCTTCAGATGGTTAACTCTGATCAAATGTTTTTATTTCATTTGATTAGATGCTGTCCATTATCCTACCTAATAAAAGAGCAATATGCAGATTGACCATCACTTGTCCTTAGGCAGAAAGAACTCAGCGTGTAAGTAACGAATGAATGGAATAAGTAAACATAAATACGACAGTTAGGATGCATAAAAGCAACGGGTCATACTCTTAGGCTTGGGGAGTTCATTCTTTAGCTCCCTTGTTTTTTTGGGTTGCTGTTTTTTAAATAAACATTTTTATTTTTATTTTTTATTTTTTTTACTTCAGAGAGGCAGGAAGAAGGAGAGAGAGAGAGAGAGAAACATCAATGATGAGAGAGAATCATAGATCCACGCACGCCCCCACCGGGGACTGAGCCTGCAACCCGGGTATGTGCCCTGACCGGGAACCGAACCGTGACCTCCTGGTTCCTAGGTCGATGCTCAACCACTGAGCCACAGTGGCTGGGCTCTTTCGCTCCATTCTGACCCGGGTAGCAGTTTGAGAATCTGCAGACGTGTATCCATTACATGGAATCATCACTTCAATTCTAAAAATACTCGCCTGCTACTAAACTCAATTAAAAAGAGGTGCAGTAGGAAAGCTTAATTAAGCTTTCTAGGTTGTTAAAACTCATCCAGAAAAAGAAACACACACACACACACACACACACACACATTATTTTTAAGAGTCCCCACAGTCCAATTGCGAGAAACAGCCAGTATATTACCTGTCAGCAAGGTTGGTTTCTTTTTTTCCTTTAATATATATATATATATTTTTATTGATGTAAGAGAGGAAGGAAGAGGCAGAGAGAGAGAGAGAAACATCAATGATGAGAAGAGTCATTGATCAGCTGCCTCCTGCACGACCCCACTGGGGATGTGCCCGCAATCAAGGCACATGCCCTTGACCAGAATCGAACCCGGGACCCTCCAGTCCGCAGGCCAACACTCTATCCACTGAGCCACACCGGCCAGGACAAAGGGTGGTTTCCTTCTCTTGCTTAGGACCAGGCTGTGGGATGGGGTTTCCATTGAGCCAACCCCAGGCTGCTAGGCCGCTGGTGAGAACTGTCCTGGCAGCAACATCAGCCCCACGGGAGGGAGGGGAATTGACCGGGGGCCAGATTCCCCGGGGGGAAATTTGGGACGAGTTGAAACCTCCCTTCCCCACCTCGCTTTGATGGTGGCGACTGATAACGTCTTCCTCTTCCAGCACCTGGTGCAGCAGCGCAGGCTGCAGGCTTCCCGGCTCCCAAGCAGCAGCAGAGCAGGGGCTGAAGCGTCACCTGCAGCCGGGCCGCGTGCCCCTGAGCCCACGGAGGGAGAGGCCGCAGCCGGGTGAGGAGACACACTCCGTCTCCTTTTCCAGACGTCAGCATGGGGGGGTCCACCCAGGGAGAAGCCGCGCAAGGTGGGGGCAGCGTGTCGTTTGGGGCTCTGGGCAGAGGCCCCGAGGCAGGGCCTGGGTAGCTCTGAGTCCATTGTAATGTCACATCCCACCCCCCCCTATGAAATTAGTTTTATTGGATATAAGTTACACTTTATTTATTTATTTTTGTATTATTATTTTTTAAAAATATATTTTATTGATTTTTTTTTTACAGAGAGGAAGGGAGAGAAATAGAGAGCTAGAAACGTCGATGAGAGAGAAACATCAACCAGCTGCCTCCTGCACACCTCCTACTGGGGACGTGCCCGCAACAAAGGCACATGCCCTTGACCCGCATCGAACCCGGGACCCTTCAGTCTGCAGGCCGACGCTCTATCCACTGAGCCAAACCGGTTTCGGCTACAGTTCATTTTTAAATATATATATTTTATTGGTTTTTTTGTACAGAGAGGAAGGGAGAAGGATAATCAGAAACATCGATGAGAGAGAAACATCGATCAGCCGCCTCCTGCACACAACCTACTGGGGATGTGCCTGCAACCAACGTACATGCCCTTGACCAGAATCCAACCCGGGACCTTTCAGTCCGCAGGCCGACGCTCTATCCACTGGGCCAAAACGGTTAGGGCATAAGTTACACTTTAGTTCAGAAAACAAGCAGAGGGGAAAATGCAGCAGCCCTTCTACCTGTCCCGCCCTTAGCCCTGACCTCCCACCCCTGCCCTCATCACCAGCACAGTGGCCTCGAGCCCGGGTCACGCCTGACTCTTCCCTCTGACCACCTCCCCAAGTCCACATGTAACCGCACAATCGGTGGGTCCGGGCTGCCGGTCACTGCCTGAGCCCGTTCGGCAGAGGCAGGGTGGAACCCCACGTGAGCGCTGATTCCAGCCCAGCCGGCAGCGTGGGAGAGCCACAGGGCACCCACAAACCTCTGCTCTGCCCCCCACCGTAGCCAGCTGCCGATGGTGGGAGGAAGGACAGAGATGACAGGGGACGTTGGCCAGAGGGTTATGCCAGATGGGCAGTTTACAGGTGAGGGGGCTGGGGGTTTGCAAAGGCTTGTGGGTATGCAAAGGCCTGGAGGTTTGCAAAGGCCTGTGGGTATCCAAAGGGCTGGGGATTTGCAAGGGCCTGTGGGTATGCAAAGGGCTGGTGGCTCTGGTTTTTGCAGCAAGGTTGTCAGTCTTTCCAAGCTCACAGGCAGCCCCCCGATGGGGAGGGAGGGCCCCATTTCCAGGGGAGCTCCCCGCCAGGTGGGAAGCTACCTTCTCTCATCAGAACAGCACGATCAGTTAACAGAGCAGATCCCTCCTCACAGTCACAGCTGGTCTCCAGCGCTGTATCCCACCCTGCCATTGGGAAGGTGGTCACATGGGTCTGAGGCACACGCATTCCTGTCCCTACGACAGTGTCCCCCGCCCTCCAGGCCTTCAGAACGTCTTACCACCCTCCCTGTACAGACCGGGCTTGCCTGCCGTGACCTATCCCAACTCCTCCGCCGTTCTTGTCCCAACCTGTGCCGCTCTTTGTCTCTGAATGCCTCCTGCCTCTGATCCTCCTCTTTGCCCACATTCACACTTACTCACTGCACCGAGGTGTCAGCACCTGCTGCCTCCCTGTGCTTCAGCGTGCCGGAGCAGGGCCACCTGCGAACCCGGGGGTCGTTCCGGGTCGCCCGGACCCTGAGCCAGCTGGGACTTGGGCCCCCTTCTTCCGACGGGAGGGTCCCTGCCCAGTCCCCAGGCTCTGCCTCCCGGGGCGCAGGTGGTTTCTTTGCCACTTTCCTGGGCCCCGGGCTCCATTCGGCCAGGCAGCTGGAGCTCCCAGCCAACTAACTCCTACAAACAGCTGGCATCACCAGCCAGACTTCCTGGCACCACGCGGCCCGGGCATTCCCCGGTGATGGGGCTGCCTATAAAAAGGGAGAATAACAGGCCAGAGCCTCCCCTGGCACACCCATCCACCTGCCAGGCCGGCCCTGCCCTCTCCCCACAGGACGCAGGAGCATGGGGGCCTGCCCCCCGCCCCTCCAGCTGACCCTGTGACAGTCCCTCACCCACCTGAGCCCTGGGAGGCCACCCTTGGTTTCCCTTTGCTGTCTGAGTCTTTGCCTTTGACCTTGTCGCTTCCCTCTCCTCAGGGCAGGCGACCCTGCTCATCAGTGCTGGTCTGCAGCCAGCTCTCCCCTCCCGGACTCTGGGAAGCTCTGTCGGTGGCTCTCCCATGACGGAGATCCCAGCCTTCTGCATGGGAAGTGAGCCATCGTCCCATGCAGCCCACGATGAGTGCCTATCTGAGCCAAGTTCAGGTCCTAGTGTTCTGGAAATATTCCCGAGTATTTGTGATTTGAAGATATTATTCTAGCCCTGAGTGGTTAGAGCGTCGGTCCTTGTGGATTCGATTCCCAGTCAAGGGCACACACCTGGGTTGCAGGTTTCATCCTGGGCCCCATTTGGGGCGTGTGCAGGAGATAACCAATCGATGCGTCTCTCTCACATCCATGTTTCTCTCTCTCTCTCTCTCTCTCTCTCTCTCCTCCTCCTCCCTTCCTCTCTCTCTAAAAATCAATGGGGAAAATATCCTCGGCTGAGGATGAACAACAACAAAAAGATGCTCTTCTAGACTCTGCAGGTGTACATACCGTGGCCCATGCCTTTGAGAAGTTTACAATATGCTCACTCATTGGAGTAAAAAGGCATCAGCAGGAAAGGGAAGTGGAAAGAGAGACGTGACCATACTGATCACCAAGCAAGGAGAAGCATTGCCCTGTTCAGCTTGTTCTAGGAAGGGGCGTGCTGCCATGGTGACGCATCCAGGAGACTGCGTGCTGGCCAGAGCAGTCCTTCCCACGACCTGCCGCCCCCCCACCCCAGGCTCGGCCACGGCAATGCCCCACCCTTCCGGTCTGCTGAGGTCCCGTGTGAAGGTCCCCTCCGATCTCCCCTCGCTGCTGGGTTGGAGAGAGCGGCTCACTTGGGGAGGAAGGGGCGGGCCCATGAGAGTCTGTGGTCTCCACTTCCTACTTTCTAAAACGGGGGCCGCTTCTGGCCACGAGAAGAGGGAGACCCAATTGCTGCTTCTCGGGGGTCCCTTACGGTCCCACCATAGTGGAGAGGAGAAAAGGTTCTTCCAGGAAGCAGAGCCTTAGGAAAGAGGAGACCACAGTCCTAAGCAGACAAGTCTCTTCTAAAGTGGGTGGATGGATGGATGCATGGATGAGTGAATGAATGAATGAGTGGAAGGGTGGATGGATGAATGAATGAATGAGTAGATGAGTGGATGGATAGATGGATGGATGAGTGAATGAATGAATGAGTGGATGGATGGATGGATGGATGGATGGATGGGAGAGTGAATGAATGAGTGGATGGATGGATGGATGGATGGATGGATGGATGGATGGATGGGAGAGTGAATGAGTGGATGGATGGATGAGTGAATGAATGAATGAATGGGGCAGTAAGTGAAGTGCTGCCTGCCGTGGCAGTGCAGGGGCTTGGGCTTGTGGCTCTCCACCCTCTCGCTGTGCAGTGTCACTTCCTGGTGGAGGAAAGATGGCCCTGGGCCAGGAGGGGGAGGCGGTTCCCAGGAGCCTTCTTCTCCGTTCTGCTTTGGCAAACCGCCATTTCCCGCCGAGGGGCCCTGGCGGGCTGTGGCAGGAGTCAGCGGTCATCACATGGTCAGGGGGCAAAGGGCACCTGTGCTCATGACGGGGAAGTGGGAAGGCAGAGATCTGGTGTCAGAATGAGGGCCATTACCTCCTGGCGCTTCCCAAGGAGGGCTCAGGGCAGGCCCGTGGGAAACCGAGCCTGCAGGGGGCGCCAAAGCGGAGGAGACCCAGGGCATGGGGTTCTGCAGATTGCCAGAGTGATTAAGAGCCCTTATGAGCTGGTTAGGGACCCCCAAAAAAGCCTCACCCCTTCTGCCTAGGGAGGACAGTTTCTGCCTCCAGCCTGACCCTGAGCCATGCAGGTCAAGGGCAGGCACTCTAATCTCATCTCACGATCCTCTCCCAGGCTCTCAGGGCAGCCTGCTGACCCACCGGATGAGTGAACTACCTCGCTCAAGGTCACAGAGCTGCAAAGTCACCCACGGCCGTCCCCTCCCCTGCAGCGTTCCCTGCCCGGGGCGGGGAGTGGGACTTAGAGGGCCCCAGCCTGGAGTTGCTCCCACATTTCCAAGCATTTTTCAATCCGGGAGGACAGGGTGCTGGAAACTCTTTAAAGGAGGAGCTGAGGCCTGAAAGTCTTGGCTGGGATGGAGGAAGGGATAGAAATGCGTCCTGTGCCATCAGGACTCCCCCCACCCACCTCCCCCCCACCCCCCGGACAGCACAGCCCCTGCCCCTTGCACACCGGCCTGAAACGGCTGCTCCCGCCCTGGCCCCCAGCTCAGCCGTCCAAGGACACAGGCGAGCAGCCAGGCCAGAGCCAGGCGCCCGCGGCCCCGGGGGCAGGACACCCAGCTCGTTGGAGAAGGCTCTTCCGCTCAGCTCCGCTCCTCATATTAGCGTGTTTACTCATGTAATACGGCTGGATGCTGTTTACACACAGTTAAACCACAGCCCGTGGTTCCCCGGCCCCAGGAAGGTCCCGAGAGGATTGGCTGCTTCCGAGCTTTTTTTTGCGGCCTGTGCATGGCTGTTGTCACGGCCTCGCCTTTGCGCACAGCCAGTGGAGGCTGATGGGAAACTCCTTCCCTCGCAAGCACCTGGGCTGTCCTCACGGCTTCTTGGCAGGGCCCCGGATGAGCCCCCAGGAGCCTGGGTCACTGCTGCTCCCCTGTGCCCGCAGGCCATGCCACCTGGCCCTCTGGCCCAGCAGCCACCTGCTCAGGGCTGCAGGAGGCCCAGCACGCACTTGACCTTTCCCTCTCAGCATCATTGTCTGTTCAGCTGTGGCCTGGCCCGGCCTTGCGATAGGGGAGCCTTGCCCCAAGGCTGTCATTGTTTCAGGAGCAGGTCACCCGAGGCTCAAGAATCTCCCAGAAACCAGAACTTCCTGAGTCGCCGACACCCACCGAGGGGCCTGGCCTCGGATGGAGGAGGGATGGCAGGGCTGGGTGGAGGCGGCGGCTCCCTCGCCCCCAAGCGGGCCCAGCTGCTTTAGCAGCGCCCTCCCTGCC